CTATTTTATGGTAAACTTTCAGTAAAGCTCTTTTATCATGAAACATAGCTTTGGCAAATGCAAGGTGACTGATATGGTATTTAGTTACTGAAACAGAAGTTTCATATATTATATAGTGAAACTACAGAGAGTAGTTTGGGGCAAAAATCATTCAAAAATTGCATCTGTTGATATACAAAATATTTTGGGTTCGAACGTTTTAGGTACGAATCTGATAGAAAATATATGCGTCAATACTTCTGCATCGAGTGGTTCTCCAACTTGTATGAAATTAGTTAAATTCTAACCATTTTTGTCCCTGTTGGCGGATGATTTTGATTGATAACATTATGTCAGCGAATATTTGCTCATTTACAGTACATTTTAATTTGTAAACAAAGCCCATAGCAACCAGGCGGTCTCCTTAATTACCGACAAGAACCGTCAGGAACCGACAAAAAGTAAAAATGGAAAAAAAAAACGAATTAATTTCACTACTTCATCATTTAATAATCACAATTCCTAATATTTTTACATGAAAAACATAATAAATTCGTTCTGAACCATGTTTATAGGCAAATAACTATACCGACAATATTCGTGGTATACTTGATTTAAATTTAATTCCCTTGACACCAGTTCCGAGGTCATAAACAAGTTCATCCTACGTAAACGTTATATTTTGTTTCATGATGATATGTAATTAGTGTGGTGACAATTAACATCTTAATTGAAAATTTGAACCGATTTTAACTCTACTATCAAACTTTTCGATTGCAATAAAGATAGAAGCGTAAACTATGTGTCAATTTTGACATATTCCGCGAAAATAACATAACCGGATATAGAATTTATTTTATGCATGTCGGGATTAGTATTGGTAAGTTTAACCTGCGGTTAATTTTAACCATTTTGGTTTGTTAACCTTTTGGTTATCACGGTTTATACAAGTGACTAACCAGATTGGTTAGTTAACCAAAGTTGGTTAAATTTAACCCATGGTTAGCGTTTAACCTAGGGTTAATTTATCCAATGTTAATACCATTGGGTGCTGATGTTTATACTTGAAGCATGGTTTTCTTTGTTCGAACAATTAGAAATATTGAGTGTTAAAAAATTGGTGACCTCATACGAAAGCTAAGTAAATGGAAACTCAAATAGTTTAGACCAGTAATTGATATTAAAGACAAAACACAAATGATTAACTTTTTAAAAAAATCATTTTCTGTATTTTATTTTATTTTATAATGGGTTCATTTCGTAATTATTTAAGCAAATTACTAATATTAAATAAAAAAAATTGAAACATTTAACTTATCTGGATGCTTGATCAAAGTAAATGAATAACTGTTTCTTTTCTTCTTTAATACTTTGTAGGTGCAACGACAAAGTGTAACCAATCTCATTAAAATCAGATCATCGTGTCCGCTCCGTTACTTTTCGTTAGCGGAGGGTTGTGGAGCAACAATTAGGATATGATTTTAATGAGATTGAAGAGTAGCAACATTACAAAAGAATATGAATAATCAGGTTCATATTTAACAATATCTAAGCTGAATTGTTTATAACCCACAATATCTTACATCCTCAAAGTAAACATCAATGTTACCTAATATCAGTATCATTAAATAGCAAGTCAAGCACATTGCAATGCACTTTAATTGAGTTCAGAACATAGTAAATGTAGTTCCTGTTAATACTGATTGTCATATATTAATGGTGACACTTTGAGGAGAGAGATTTCTTTGAAAATTAGAAAAAAGTACCAAGGTTATGCTTTTTTTCCTGCATGTTTCAATTCCTTTCTTTTATTTAAAAAAAACATAATTTTTCACACAACTGCCGTTTGCACACTCTTTAATAGACACAATACACTACTTTTCATTGGAAGAAACGGTAATCTATTACCATTGGCATGTCTGTTATTAACATGATGGTTTCTATTTAATACACCTCTGGTATTTCCAATTCTTTAACAGTATCATATCTTTCCTAGTTAAGGAATGTCTGATTTACCTTCAATCTCCAGACTGAGTTTCTTTAGTGGGCGGTATAATTTTTTTTAACTTAGCGGTTTGTTTTTTGAACGTTTAAACTTACTTTTGTCAATAATATCCATAGACTTTACACCCTGTTATCAATCCGACCTTATTAGGATTCTTTAATTCTTTCCTATCTTTGTCACGCATATTCTTCTCATTTGCGGCAATATACTGTTTTGCATGAATGATATGAACGTGTCTCATTAATGCTTCTGTATGAACATACGCGGATGTTTCTTAACTGTTTCACATTAACATTCCATTTTAAATAATGAATCCTTTTATATGCAGGGGCAATAGAGCATCAACGGTTAGTAGTTCACTGCCGTCCATAAACACGCTTAATTGAATTCAGCCATTTTGAATTTTGATTTTTAAGTTACCAGATCCAGTCTTTATTCACTTTTACTGACTGAAATAGTGCAAAACGGAGGCACCTTTGATGTTCCCCCACCAATAAAGCTGAAACGTCGCCATATGGCCTATACTATGTTGGTGCGACATAAAACCCAACTCCACCAATCACTTCAACTGAAATAAAGGAATACTTACCTTATCTTTTACATGCTTAGATACGGTTTACAAACTATATCGATAACTATTCTTTTAAAGGAATACAGATTTATACATTAGACAGCAAAAATAACGCCTTAAAAATCCTTTATGTAAATCAGACCTGATAAGTAAGCAAGTTCAAAAGCTTATCAAATTAAAAATAACAAATAGTTAACATTTTACTGTAAAGAAAACGTAAACTCAAATTGTGAAAGGGCAATAACTAACGGTTATAATTTAATCACTCGAATGTAGAATAGTTTCCCCCGTTTGAGTATAGATTGATAACGTAAATAACAATAAACCGAGTCTTCAACAACTTATTAGGAAAACTAACGGAAACTAAGTGATATAGGATCAAAATAAAACCTTATTAATAATGAAAACTCATTATTTGTGTCCGCCCGTTTCTAGTGGTCGCTGGTGTGTTCCTCAGGTGAGGAGATACTTCAACGTGACAGTTGATCTCAGACCTTGAGTATATTGTCTTTTGCCTTTCACCAATGACTTAAATTATGTGTGATAAAAACTCGGTAATTTTGGTGCAGTCACTCTCTAGCGTATGACAAAAAGGCATGTATTGCGTGTGAAAAGAATATAAGAAAATACTTTTATGCACAACTGTCGAGCGTTCAACCCGAGCTATGGACGTCAGTCCTTAATAAGTGTATGAAAAGCGTCTGAACACCGTTTATATAACGTAAACCAGGGTATATGTAGCGCATGAGAAACGTTTGCGTACATGCGTGAGCAAAATTATGCTTATTAACAGACCCGTCAGTGTAACGTATACACCGTATGGGTAGCGTATGTAAGGGTATGAGTTACATTTGTATAACGTATTTGAGTACCGTTTGAGTAGCGCATGCGCAGCATCCCCTTTCGACTTGGAGTTTCCTAGTTCCTTCATTTCGAAAATAGACTTAAAGGTGTAAAGCTGCCTGCGAAAAAGGTATTCGGGTCAAGGCCCATTTGGTGAACCTTGTAGCAGTTCATCATGCATCTCAGGGGGGGGGGGGCATATGCAAAATGTTCTTGAAAGAACATTGGTCCTCATTCCTGAGTTCAACCATAAGCTTGTCATACAATCCAAACCATCCCATAGTCTTACCAAGATGTGTCGTCTTATTCTTCACCTCATTCGTCTTCTGTTTCTTTGGGCATAGTAAATAGTTTAATTCATGAGTTTAGAAGAGCTACTTTTATCATCTATGTCGATCTACTACTGAAAAAAAGATGAGGAAATGGGAATCTATATATATTTACAGCCAAGCTGACCACTTTTTTGCCATCGTATGAGATGCGTACTTGACATATGAGCGTCAGTCTTGGCTAGACTCTCTAGCGTATGATGAGCATAAGAACAAACAATGACGTGTGTCAGCGCGCTTGGAATGTAAGCTGCTTATGCTTAACATAGCCCTAACTTGTGTGCAAGCGTTAAATTAATTTTTATCGAGCGCTCACATACTAAAATGTCTTAAGCTATATTATGTTTATGGGTTGCATTCACTGAATGCATCCCCAACAATAGTTCAGAGCACATGGGTAAATCTTGGATTGGATGTCATTACAAACTAGAAGGGTTTTTTGTCACAAAATCATATGTCTCCCAACACCATGGATGGTCACTCATGTGAAGTTTGGTTGAAATCCCACCAGTAGCTTGACCTATGAAAGCTGGAAAAGATTTTTCTATTTATGGCTCTGAAGGCTATTTTGTGCAGCGAAGCGAAACTTGCCAGTATTGTGCACAACTAAGGATAATACTGATCACTCCTGTAAAGTTTGGTTGAAATCTGACCAGTAGTTTGACCTGTGAAGGCTGGACAAGATTTTCTATCTTTAGCTTTCGCGACCATTTTGTGCAGCGAAGTGGAACGTGTCCGTGATGTGCACAACAAGGGATGGTACTTATCACTTCTGTAAAGTTTGGTTGAAATCCCACCAGTAGTTTGACCTGTGAAGGCTGGACAAGATTTTTCTATTTTTAACTCCTGGCGGCCTTTCTGTGCAGCAAAGCGAAATGTGCCTTTGGTGTTCACAACTAGGGATAGTACTGATCACTCCTGTAAAGTTTGGTTGAAATCCCACCAGTAGTTTGACCTGTGAAGGTCGGACAAGATTTTTTTAATATTTAGCTCTGGTGGCCATTCTGTGCAGGGAAGCGGAACGTGCCGTTGATGTGCACAACAAGGGATGGTACTGATCACTCCTGTAAAGTTTGGTTTATACCGCATCAGTGTTTGACCTGAGAGGGGCGGACAAGCTAATTGCGGACGGACGGACGTTCTAACGGGACAGTAATAATGTGGCTACTATATTGTTCTCTCTATTGTTCTTTTTAGCCACATAAAAGAAAAGAGCCACATAAAAACATTACAGATGAATGTCATCAAAGAGAAAGAACAGTTACCTATTGTCCCTCTAACCACATTGAAAAAATTGGGTTAGAGAGAAAGATGTCGCAAAAAGAACACAAAAGTGTCACCAAATTTGTTTGTAACAATAAACAAGACATACAAGGAATACAGAGGGGCGCGGTCATGGAAATAATATTTATATTGAAATAATATATGAAAAAATTGATAAAATAAGATTCTTTACATTTGAAATACAGCATTTTCCTAAAAATCATCAATACATGTGCAGGAATGTTTGTAGTGAACACAACATCTCATAATATTGATAGCTTTAGTGATATTTAAATGTAGTCATAAATCCGTTTGGAATAGACAATAACAATTGGTCTTTCAAATTCAAACTTTCAATGCATCATAAATCAATACATATGGCAAAGTACTTTTATTTTAACGCATTCCCGCATTATATAGGACTAGAACTTTCACCAACCTAAAGTGAAAAAGAATTACGACTGATTATTTTCAATCTATATTTTTGTAGACTTTTAACGTATTGACCATATTTATTTCAAGGTTGTTAGAAACTTAATTTTGTAACATACACCGTCATTGTATATATCCAAGTCAGTTTTTTTAAACATAAACATCAAATGTTCATTATGATTATGTCTTAACATATAAACAAGATAAAAATGTATACATCTTATGTAAAATACATTTCAATGTGTTTAAATGAGTACTTTTGAAAATAATAAAATTAAATTGTATATATCCTGTCAAGGGAGATAAACATTTCAATACACAATATGGGTTACAATTCGTTTCTAATGAGATCAGCAATTCTAGCCCTTATTGGATTGTAACACTTAGCATTACCTGCCACCAAGCTACCAGCACCGCATTCAAAGATCTCCCATTTCGAACCCTGTCGTACACTCGAGCACATTATAACAGCTTGAGAATTTAGCGCATGTACAAATGTTGTTTCACACAAGTTAACGTTTTCGCTGGATGCCTCGTAAAACTTCAAGGAAGGATTCTTGAAATCAGACAGGTTTGGTGACCTCCATGAACTTAATATAAAATAGAGATGAGTGACATTCATTGGGACACTTTTCAAATAAACGTGAATCGTCTGACGGCCTGTCTTTTCTCCGGGACCAGACATATTTTTCTCTGAATGTCTCACAGAGTTCTTCAGATAATAATCGTTCGTTGAATGATTCCAGTCAATAACTTGGATGAATTCATTCTTTTCAAAAGCCATACACGTGGCATCAAAAAAATCTGGATTCACGGCAGGAAATTCCCAGGATAAATCAAACACAACGTGGTCAAGGTGTTCGGGAATACAGTACAGTGGCATGATCAGAGAAATATTTGCATTGCAGCAAATATTGTAATCAAAAAGCCTGGCAGCAGCCTACAATAAACATTGTTTGAACCAAATAAGATTTTGTCGCTTGTCATAACGGATCATCAGATGTTTATGATAAAAACATTACATATCATTATAAAAATGAATTAATTCAAAAGATAAATATGGTTTTATTGTTAAGTTGTACTTATAAGCAGTGAACAATTAAATGATGAATTTCAGTTGAATAAATTGAAAAAGTACAGGCAACATTGAATATTTGAATGTAAAAATTTGACATAATATATCATTTAGAATTTAAGATACATTAAAAGAATATACGTTTTAATTATTAGATTTAATTTATTAGTTATTTTATCTAATATTGAAAAAAATGACGTGATGAACTATTTTATAAAAGTAAGTAAGTGTAACATTTTGAAGGGATTTATAAAGATAAAAATAAATAGATATTAGATACCTTAAGATATATGTCATTATAAATCAGCCGCTGTTGTTCTACCCTGATGCCAAGTTTCTCGTTTATTTCCCGCTTCAGTTCGATTATTTGCATATTTTCCCTAAAGGAAAACCACTCTGTATCGCTGTTCATAGTTGAAACGCTAATCAGTTCACAACCAGGTTTCATCAGTCTTGCTTGTTGTTCAGATATCTAGAACATTTAAAATTCAAATCATTTACGGAAAACATATGTAGCATAGGAGGAGACAATTATACACTGCAATGCTTAAAAGTGTCAATGCATAAAGTTGTTGTCATCGTTTTCAAAATGTTACGTATTAAATAAATATGATATCAGCATTTTGAAGGCGTATATTAAACGTAATAATACTATATACCTATAAATTTTCTCCTTAAATACGCTTCAACGGATAGAAATTTCCGTATTATGTTATTAGTGATAAATACGGTCCCATTTATGTAAGTGCCGGACTATTTTTGACGTTGGTTCCGATCTTAGCTGTGTAAAGTGTATCATTTGGAAACGGGAATCAAAATTATTAATGGCGTTTTTTTTTTTTTTTTTTTTTGCAAAAAATACGTATTCATTCTTCATTTATTTCTTAATAATTACTACGTTTCATGTTCTGAAATTAATAATAGAATTAAAGTATATTGAAACTCCTTTTCACTAAAGACGAATAGGTATAAAATATATAATGAATATTCTGTTGTAGCAGCTTTCTGAGACCATGTATTTTGCTACTCGTGGGAAAATGGATTTCTCACTCGACCTTCGGTCTCGCGATATATCAATTTTCGAACGCAGCTCGTAACAAAATGCAAAGCCCCAGAAAGCAACTACAACATAATATTCATTATATATTAAAACGAGTTATGTATAGTCGGTTTGACTGTGTCTATTCCCTTATATGGTTCAAATAATTATTTATTGATAGATTAAGACATATATCATATCATATAACAAATTCTTACAAGATTAAAGTTCAAACCAACTTGATGGTAAATGTTTTGTATCGTATACTTGATACCGTTGTCACTTAGTAAGTTGGGTATACGCGCAAAACAATATGCATATTTTACAACGATATATCTGATAAGTCGATTAATTGTTCGTTAATTATATCCTTTAAAAAATCTGCTTTTGTCTGTCATATAATTAACATTCGAATACAAACCTTACTATAATCTACAAAAAGCCTGTCTAATTTCGCTTGAAAAAACTCGTTTTAAATTCAGGCTGTACATCAATATCACAGTTTTCACGTGGGCATTTTCCCGTCTCTTTAACGTGTTTCACTACACACTTGTGGTAAAAATAAGTGATAGTTAGTAATTCAGTTTACTCTGACACAGTTTCATTTAACTTGTTTTAATATAATCATATCTTTATATTTGAAAAAACAAAAAAATATGAAGCTCAACTGTAACTGACTGAAGGTTTTCTGATTTATAACATAAAAATTGTATAATACGTGGTACATATAATATAAACATTAATATTGTCACTGAAAATACTTTGTATTCATGTCTTTCCTGTTTGGATACATTGTTTCAATGACTCACTTGAGGCAATATATTATGTTGGAAAATTTTATGATAATGGTTCATAATAAATAAACTTTTTTTCATTAAGATTCCATGTACCATCTTACATGATTTCATATGATTTGTATTTAAAATATATTGAAAAGTAATTACTCTCAGACATTCTAGTGGGGCATGTTCACATTCTTCGCTCACAGTCGTAGTTGGGAATTCATTTGGAGGTTTGTTGACTTTACAGAGGGGACACTTCATACCTGAAATAATATTAACAATGCCAAACGTTGTGTTCATACACACAAATGAAAACAGCGCTTCATTTAAATAATTATTATTGCAATGGATGTTTAATTGTTACCACTTCCTTCCTCTTCATCATCAGAGTCGGAATCCTCTTTAAGTATAATTATTGGATCATTTGACTCACTTTGCATTTGTATTGTTATATCTTTAGATTCTGCTTGATTTCCCACGAATGTCATGTTCTGCAAATAAAAATTATAAATCATCAAGATATACTTGACATTTCTCTTAAATGATAACTTTATGAAATTGTTATAGTTGATATTATAAAAATCGAAACAATATACTTTAACCATTGAAAAGAAAAATGTTACAAACCTGTTCAAGTCCAGCTTCTCTGAAGCAAATTGACATAATCACCTCTTCAATTTTGTTCATATCGTTAAGTGATACATAATGTCCAAACGTAGACGATGCTATCTTTTGATAAAACGAGTCAGCAAATGCTCTGTTTTGACATTGAACTGCATTAATCTTTACATACTACAAATAATAAATGCTTTGAAGTGTAAAGTTTAAATTTCATGCATAAACTGATCGCTAACAATACATCATTATGTTATTTTAAATCGTTAAATCGTTAAAAGTTTATGTATTCAATCACCGCCTTGCAATTTGAATAATAAAAATACGGAGACTTAAGTTTGTTAGAATGTTTAATCATTCGTTAATATTTATGTGATTGTTTACCTCATTTTCTGTTTTACTTTTTGAAAGTTAAGTTTATTTTGTAAAAGGTCGCCTAAAACTTGCAACTTTGATGCAAAGAGAAATTGTTAAATAAATAATTTGAAACACATTTCACAAAAGGCAGAAATATTATTCTTTCTAAATCATCACATTTAAATGTATATTATTAATCAAATTTGATTTATAAAAATACTCATTATTGCTACATTGTCTTTTTTTTAATGTACAATAAACATTTTCTGAGTACACGCAGAGAAAAATATATTGTTTTTAACTTTACACACTACACGTAAACGCAACATGAATAGGAAAGGACCAACTTAACTTGAGCAGAAATAGGGAATGCAACATCCGAAACATAGTATTCACATTCTCGGATCCAATAATTTGACAAATTCTGTAAGAATTCGCTGTGTATGTATAGTCCAGTAAATATGTAAAATATATACCATTTCTCGTAGCTGCCTTATTTCGTCTTCCCAATCTATTTTTTGTTCATTTTGAGGATCATCGACATCGTGTGGTCGACAATCTCCAATCATAATTAATGTTCTGGAACTGTTGTCTCGCCAGGACAGTTTCGTTCTGCTATAATGTAAAGCTAACTCGTAACATTCATCCGATGTTGATCCACGATTACAACCTGTCGCATTTACAAATGAGCAAAGGCTGTCCGCATCTGCAGTAAGATCTTCATACTTGATGAGATACAAGTTTGTATCATAATCGCCGTGTGCAATGACACCTACACGGATATCTGGTATTTTAGATTTAAGCAATCTTATCATTCCTTTCATTTTACTTTTCACGTGTTCAAGACAACTATACATAGAATACGTTGTATCAAAAGATATGACTACATCTATCATCTCCATATTCTCCATGTCTGAAATAAACATCGCACACATTAAATGTCATTCGTTATAACGCATCTTTTTCCATGAATGTACAACTATTAGGTTCTAAAGATTTTGCGGATTATTTCCTTTTTTTCTAAATATATTCTTATCATAACATGAATGTTACAAATGTATGTACATACCTTTTACTTCTTGAACAAAGTTAATATATCCGGTTTACAAAACGAAGTGATATTATATTATGTTAACAACACAGATGACAGAAATATAACACATTTAAAACGTAACTTGGCATGAAAATACGTTTTAAACTTTATCACGAAATACAAATCGTTTATGCTATTATGGGTTAATTCAATACATTTTAAATCCTATGCCGATGACGAGAAAAACACATTTTAAATTGGTAGTGGTACACATTGAATAAAACGCCAGCTGTTTATACTCGAAACATGGTTTCCTTTGTTCGATTAAAGATATAATTATCAATCAATTAGAAATAATGAGTGTAAAAATGTGTAGACCTCATAAATAGCTAAGTAAATGGAAACTCAAATAATTCATACGAGTCATTGATCTTGAAAGCAAAACCCAAATGATCAACTTTTAAGAAATTTCATTTTTTATTGTAGTTTTTTTTTATTTTATAATGGGTTCATTTCGTAATTATTGAAGCAAATTACTAATATTAAATAGAATATTGAAACATTTAATTTATCTGGATGCATGATCAAAGTAAAGGAATAAATGTTTCTTTCCTTCGTTAATACTTCGTAGGTGCAGCGACAAAGTGTGACCAATCTCATTAAAATTAGATCATCGGGTTCGATTTGTTACTTTTCGTTAGCGAAGGGTTGTAGCAACAGTTAGGATATGATTATAATGAGATTGAAGAGTAGCAACAAAAGAATATGAATAATCAGATCAGGTTCATCTTAAACCTGATATCTAAACTGAATTGTTTATGACCCACACTACCTTACATCCTCAAAGTAAACATCAACGCTATCAATAAATAGCAAGTCAAGCACATTGCAATGCACTTCAACGGAGTTCAGAACATGGTAAATGTAGTTCCTGTTAATACTGGTTGTCATATATTAATGTTGACACTTTGAGGAGAGAGATTTCTTTGAAAATTAGAAAAAGTACCAAGGTTATGTCCTTTATTTTTCTGCATGTTTCAAGTCCTTTCTTTTATTTTAAAAGATCATAACATAATGTTTCACGGTTTACAAACTATATCGATAACTATTCTTTTAAAAGAATCCAGATTTATACATTAGACAGAAAAAATAACGCCTTATAAATCATTAATCTAAATGAGAACTATTAAGTAAGCAAGTTCAAAAGCTTATCAAATTACAAATAACAAATAGCTTACATGTTTCTGTAAAGATAACGTAAACTCAAACTGTGAAAGGGCAATAACTAACGGTACTCATTTAATAACTCGAATGAAGAATAGTTTCCCCTGTTCGACGTTCATAACAAAATAAAAAAATATCGAGTCTTAAACAACTAATTAGGAAAACTAATGGAAACATAAATGTTGTAGACCAGTTAATGGCTGATCAAAATAAAAACCTTATAAATAACGAAAACTCATTATTTGCGTCCGCCCGCTTCTAGTGGTCGCTGGTGCGTTCCTCAGGCGACGAGATATTTCAACGTGACAGTTGACCTCAGACATTGAGTCTCATAGCCATGTGCCTTTCACCAATGACTTAAATCATGTGTGATAAAAACTCGATGTCAATTTGCTGCAGTCTCATTATGATAGCGAATGTCAGAAACGTATGTATTGCGTGTGAAAATAATTTGAAAAAAAAACAACAACAAAAAACTTATATACGCACAACTTTCGAGCGTTTAAACTCGAGCTATCGGCGGCAGTCCTTTAAAAGTGTATAAATGGTGTTTGTACTGCATATGAGAAACGATGGCGAACCTGTGTAAGCGTATGTCAATCATACCGTCAGTGTAACGTTTATCACCTTACAGGTAGCGTATGCAAGGGTATGAGTAATATTTGTATAACTTATTTGAGGCTATGAGTAACGTTTGAGTAGCCTATGCGCAACGTCCCCTTTCGACTTGAGTGTCATTGTTCCTTCATTTCCAAACTAGACTTCGAGGTGTACAGATGCTTGCAAAAAGGTATTCGGCCCGTGGCCCGTTTGGCAGCTCATTATACATCTCAGGGGGCATATGCAAAACTTTCTTGAAAGATCTTTGGTCCTCACTCCTGGGTTCAACCATAAGCTTGTCATACAAACCAAACTTTCGTCGTCGTTCAAGTCAATGTCTTACCAAGATTTTGTGTCTTATTGTCTTCTATTTCGTCGGGCATAATAAATAGTTAAATTTATGAATTTAGAAGAGCTGCTTCCATGATCACTGACAAAGATGAGGAAATGGAAACCTATATATATTTACAGCTCAGCTGACCACTTTCATGCCATCGTATGAGATGAGTACTTGGCATATGAGTAACGTACCTTTAGTTGACGTGTGTCCGCGTGCTTGAAACGTAAGCTGCGTATGCTTAACATAATCATAACGTATGTTCGAGCGTATGAGCAATTATTATCGTACGCTCGTACTTAAATTTCATAAGTTATAGTATGTTATATGGTGGCATTCAATGAATGCATCCATAACCAATAGGTCAGGGCACATGGGCAAACATTGGATGTCATTATAAATTATGCAAAATAGGATATTATATAAAACTACAAGGCAATTAAAGAAGGACATTAATTTTAAGAAGATAAGGGTGAAAAAGAAAGGGCCAGAAGGGCCGGGAGTGGGGGGGTGAAAAAAAATTGGGTTTTGGGGAGAAAAATACCTCAAAAGGGACACAAAAGTGTCACCAAAATTGTCTGTAACAATAAACAAGACATACAAGGAATACAGAGGGGTGCGGCTTTGGAAATTATAATTATATTGAATAATATATGAAAGATTTGATAAAATAAGATTCTTTACATTAGAAATACAGGATTTTCCTAAATAATTAAAAATCACCAATACCCTTGCATGAAAATTTTTAGTGACTTAACAAGTCATAAAAGTTATAGTTTTATTGATAGTTTAATGCAGTTATAAATCCCTTTGGAATAGACAATAATAGTTGGTATTTCAAATTCAAACTTTCAATGCATCATCAATCAATACATATGGCAAAATATATTATGTTTTATTTGTATATTTATCCGTCCATCGTTACGGTTATTTTTTTCAAATGTTAAATTCTTAATAAAAATAAATACAAATGTTATATCACTTCTATCATTCTTTAAGTATGCAACAAAACATCATCAGATATGATAAACTACAAAACAAAAAATAAAGCAAGCATTATTACATAATAAACAAATCTTTTTTTAACGCATTCTCGCATTCACACAATAGGGCTAGAACTTTCACCAACCTAAAATGAAAATGAATTATGACTGGTTAATTTAATCTATATTTGTGTAAACTTTTAACGTATTTACCTCATTTATTGCAATACATTTAGAAACTTAGTTTTGTAACATACACCGTCATCGAACTCAGTTATTTGGAAACCTAAATACCAAATATTCATTTTGATTATGTCTTAACACTTATACGAGATAAAAATGTATATATCTTTTGTATAATACATTTTAAAATATATAAATGAGTACTTTTTTAAAGTTTTTAAATTGTATATAACCTGTCAATAGAGATGCACATTTCAATACACAATATGGGTTACAATTCGTCTATGAGATCAGCAATTCTAGCCCTTATTGGATTGTAACACTTAGCATTTCCTTCCACCAAACTACCAGCAACGCATTCAAATATTTGCCATTTCGACCCCTGTCGTACCGTCGAACACATTATAACAGCTTGAGAATTCAACGCATGTACAAATGTTGTTTCACACAAGTTAACGTTTTCGCTGGATGCCTCGTAAAACTTCAAGGAAGGATTTTTGAAATCAGAAAGGTTTGGTGACCTCCATGAGCTTAAGATAAAATAGAGGTGAGTGACATTCCTTGGGACACTCTTTAAATAAACGAGAATCGTCTGACGGCCTGTCTTTCCGCCAGGACCAGACAGATTTTTCTCTGAATGCCTGACCGAGTTCTTCAGATAATAATCGTTCGTGGAATGGGTCCAATCAATAACTTGGATGAATTCATCCTTTTCAAAAAGCCATACCACGTGGCATCAAGAAAATCTGGATTCACGGCAGGAAATTCCCAGGATAGATCAAACACAACGTGGTCAAGGTGTTCAGGAATGCAGTACAGTGGCATGATCAGAGAAATATTTGCATTACAACAAATATTGTAGTCAGAAAGCCTTGCAACACCCTAAAATAAATATTGTATGAACCATATTCAAAATGAAAAACATGTTAGATGTTTACGATTGCGGTTTCTTTATAAGTATTTGTGTATTTATTCTTATTTTAAAAGATAAAATAAAATGATGAATTATTATATCAAATTTAAATAAAGTTCAATAAAGTTATTAAAGAAAACAAGAAGATATGAAGAAATGAATCATTGTTTTTATACCTTTAAATTTGTGTCATTATAAATCAGCCGCTGTTGTTCTACCTTAATACCAAGTTTCTCGTTTATTTCACGCTTCAATTCGATTATTCGCATATTTGCTCTAAAGGGAAACCACTCTGTATCGCCATTCATAGTTGAAACGCTAATCAGTTCACACCCAGGTTTCATCAATCTTGCTTGCTGTTCTGATATCTACAAAATTGAACAACCTTAATGAGTCATTTATGGATCATATATAATCACGGTTTGCAGTGCAAATAAAGCCGTACTATTGTTTCGGGGGATATCAAAATGAAATAGTTCACAGTACGAAAATTGCTACGTAACGTCTTTTATGAAAAATATACACATCATATATAACAGGTGCGTTAGGAAACAGAATAAAGGGTACCGATGATGATAACATGTTTTATTCCTCACCAAAAGCATGAGTACGTAAAACACAATATTGAAGTGGTTGGAGTCAGCAATATTTTCATGTTACAGAAATGTTGCACTGACTCCCTATGTATTGAAAGCCACCTAGTGATTTTTGACATTCTAGCAAATAAGAAAACTGTTTGAAGTAGCATTGTTATACTATTATCTTCAACACAACAGTCATTTTCCGCTAATTGTATATGTTGAAATGACCACTTATAGACAACACAATGACAGATTAACATACTTCGTTATTCTAAAATAAGTTAGACTACAGTTTTCAGATAGCGTCGTAGTTTAGACATGCAACTTTGAATATGAATGATTTCGACTGTTGCAACGCAACATCATGGTAAAAATATGATAATCAAGATCATCAACTTAAGAATTAAATCTATCAATTCCGACGATATCTGCTGCATGCCGCGGTATAATATCCTTTATGTTTATATCTGTGTTTCCGGTTGAAAAATAGTTTTTTGTAAATTTATTTTAACAAGGACAATGCTAATAAAATAAAGGTCAAGATAAAAACTATTGCATGTAATGATGTCTATTTAAGACAACTTTCAATTTAACGAGGGTAGGCGGAAACCATTTCATAATTCTTTTCAAAAAGTACACGTTTTTGTAATAAATTCAGAGATTTGACCAAATGTTGCTTTTGTCAATATAAATATAAAAACCTCTCTTAAGCAACGTACATTTTTAAATGAAGACAGTGGATGGTCTTGATTATCGCTTAGGTAGATAAGTTATTGATATTAAACTTAGAAGCATCTCGATAGTACGGGTGAGGATTTGGATGGAATCTCCATCGTATTATATTCGCACTCATATATAATAATTCTTAAATACCATGTTTTATTAAAATCTGATATAAAAGATATGACCCAAGAGAGAAAGAGGGATTGTTTAGTTTGGTTTTACGAAGCACGCAGATGGCGCCGAAACAGGAAATATTATATTTACTGACATGGGTCTTATGAACTTAAAACAACCTCGCCTCATATGCTGGAACTGAGAGATACATAGACTCGATAAATAATTTGAACCATTTTAATCGCCTCTTACAATCACGAAGGGATTAATGATAGCTGCAATGATGATGCCCAAACCATTGAAAGGAACCCCTCTGTCACAAAAGATAGAAGTTGGCTTTGCCAATTAAATATTTTAGAATACAAAAACATAACAACTTGACAATCGATCAATAAATATTAATGTCATATACCAAGCAACAATCTCCTAATAAATAAACATAAATATATATTTATGTTAAGTTGCATCAAGATCTAAGAAAGATATGGCCCTTTATACATTTTCACACAAAAAAGAAAAAATCAGAATCTCTAAAGAAAGTGGAAAACGGCTATTGAAAATGCGAAAATGTTGCAGGCTCATTCCATGAAAAGCGGCGTATGGTCTCCAACTAATAGAAGCAATTAGTTAATTGTATAAGGTATAACAACGCAAAACATTTGGTATTTCAAGTAAGTTTAATTTTGCTCTAGACAAAGTAAATAAAAGTTAAAGTGATAATAACCAATGCATATCTACTATTTTATAGTATTCATGTTTTCATAAACCTCTGATCCCCTTTCAAAATTCCATTTGTTTCATACCTCCTGTTTTTTCTCGTTTAGGACACACGCTTTCATTAGTTGGAGAACGACTCATTTCATGGAATGGCACGGAAGTGTCACATTGAAGTTTCCATGAGAACCGCTGTATGAACACATCTACGGATGTTTCAAAATTCACAAATTCCGTGGTTAAATGTTGAATTCTGCTTAAGCGGATGCTAGGGGGGCGTGGACGGTAGGTTGCACATACCGCGGACCGTCCATAAACAGGCTAATCAAACATAGCCTGCAAAATGTTCAATTTTGTTGTTTTGGACGTTCTTTAGGGATTCTGATTTTCTCTATTTTTTAAACCTTATTATGTATATAATTTAGAACTACAAAATAAACATTGGTTTACATACCTTACTATAATCTACAAAAAGTCTGTCTAGTTTTGCTTGAAAGAACTCGATCATTTTGCAGTTAGGTTCGACTTCAATATCACAGTTTTCATCTGAGCATTTGCCTGTCTCTTTAACATGCTTCACAACACACTATTAAATTGGCAAAAATAAATGAAATTGTTAATTTTACTTCCATGCTTAGGTTTACCTAATGTCTGACATATTTTATATTTAAATGTAGTCATTTATGTTAATTTTGAATTTGTGAACGAAATGTGTTGTTCTTTTTAAATAAAAGGTTACAAAGTTCTTGGTGTGGGATAGATATAACGAAAACTGTTCTTGGAATTTGAAACAATGGCGTAAAGATTTTACTCTCAGACACTCCAGTAGAGCATGCTCACAATCTTCGCTTACAGGCGTAGTTGGGAACTCATTCGGAGGTTTGGTGACCTTGCACAATGGGCACTTCATACCTGAAATAGAATCAAACATGCGATTTTTCTTTAAAACGAAGCTAATTTTATTTTTTTTAACGTTGCGTGCGACAAAAAATTAAAAGATCATAAGGCGACTTTTCAGCTTTACTGGTGCAAGATGACCTTAGGTGCCCCTCCGTGCATACGAGCAACTGAGTAGAACCACCGAAGCCCCGTAAGTGACTGACGCCCCCATATTAAAACGTATTTAAATTACTTAAGATACATTTAATATGACAATACTGTTAAAATATCATGTAAAGCTTTTTTTTTATTTACAATCCATATAAGATACACACTAAGCCATATAACCTTAAGTAAATAGTTACGTGGTAGAAATGAGGTTATAAATTTAGAACAGTTTGTATTAAACCTAACAGTTGTGAATAATTTATATCATTCCTTAAAACTTTTAATACATTTTTCGAAGGCCTGAAAAGCTTTTACCTTTTTAGCGAATCAGAAATGTAGTTAACTATTGTAATATAGTTACCTGTTCCTTCGTCTTCATCCTCAGTTTCAGTATCAGAGTCTGAATTTTCAGTCAGCCCAACAATTTTGAGTTTAGACTCAGTCAGCCTTTCTGGTGTAATCTCTTCAGGCTTTGTATAGGCCTGGATTGGACTTGTCAAAAGTTTCGGTGATGTTTTCTGTCAACAAGAGTACCAAATCATTTTCGCAATATTCGGTCATGTAAACAATGTTAACTTTATATCACAGCAATAACTCTAAATTGACAAAGTAAAAAGACTGTGTAATGACTTAATACGATAATATCTATATATTATAATTGCATGCTGCTCAAGAAAATTAGGATGAACAGTTAAAAACGAAAATTTGCCAAACCCATTTCCATTTTGATATATAATCATTATTTGCATGATATGTTTGTTAACATGAATTGAATGCAATAAAATATGTTTAAACTTAAAAAACTTAAAATTAAGAGTCATTTTACTATTCCAAGTCCGGCTTCTCTATAGCAGATCGACATCAACACTTGCTCTATTTTCTTTATATCACTCAATGATACATGGTGCCCGAATGTCGTTGAAGCGATATTTTGGTAGAACGAATCAGCATAGGATCTGTTCGCACATTGCACTGCATTTATTTTAACATTCTGCAATCATTTAAGAAAATATTATGATGGGTATCATTATATCTCACGTATTATACATGACGTCAGACAGTAACAAGTTTTACTATAATAAGTATACCCCACTTGACTTATGTTAGGTTAAAGTTTATAAGTACGTATTTCCAGGAACGATGGTCAGGAAACTACCCACCTATATGACTGAAATACTGTTTCAGGGAAAAGGCGTAAAATAAAACAAACAAACAAACGTTTTTTACAAAATTATTTTTTTGAATTCAGGCGTGGCGACCAATTTAATTTTGTAAATACGTACAAATAAATTTTAACCAGCTTAGCATTTTAAATTATTTTTGTACACTTTCTACATGTATCCGCCCTCTTTCGACATGCGACATTGATTGGCACAACGAAATACCTCAATCATGCCTTTCATCCATGTATCGTCGATATCGGCGACGTCTGATCTTTTATCGCCTTGTGCAGATAAGAATCTCTCTTCGCTGGCACACAGAAATTAAAATATTCAGATTGACCATGGTCAAGGGTAATATTAAATGTTTATAGTTTTGGTGTTTATAAGGTCATTGGGACTAGCACTCATAATGAAGGATTAATAGGTGACAATTAATGATATTGTGATCAATTTTAAAAGTTAAAGTTTTCAATTGAAGTTAAAATATTCAGACTGACTATGGTCAAAGATTATGTTCAAATCGATGTTTATAGTTATTATGTTTATAAGGACATTGGGACTCGCATTCATGATGAAGGATTTTGTTAAATATTTCAATTTAAACGTTCAGATTTAAAACTGGGATTAAAAACAAGATTGCATTTGTGAAATATGCTATGCCACCACATCATACAATACAACACTTAATAGTAGTGTAGGAACAGAAGAGGTTTTTTTGTTTCTATACAACTGAACATTGCCAAGATACAGTTGATTCTAGTGAATTTGGTGGTCAAGATCATATTTCAGATGGCCTAAATTTCTTCACTGTACATCAAAGGACAAGAAAAAAGGTCACATCATCAAAAGCTAGGTAAACTGATATCAAAGTTAAATTTTACATTAGAAATTGTGCACATGGTCTAAATTTCATAGCTGTACATCACAGAACATGAAAAGAGGTCACATGTCAAAATCTTATTCAGCCGATATATAAATTAGTTTTACATCTTAAACTGTGAAACGGTCCAAATTTCATGGCTGTACATCAAAGACAAGAAAGTAGGTGACTGTCCCCTTGGGAAGGAAAAAAGGTATGACCCAATGGTTAAATTCAAACACTCTTGATACAGGTCCACCAGACAATGTTTTATAACAAATATCTAAGCTCTAGCTCTCTCCTATTCAGAAAACATTTGTTTTAAGTTCTGTTTTTCCATATGTACATAATAAAAATAAATGACCCAATTTTGACATCAGGGGTATAATTTGAACAATCTTGGTAGAGGTCCCCTACGTAATGTTTTATGCAAAATATCTTATCTCTAGCCTAAGTTTGTCGATTCAGAGAAGAACATTTTTTAAAGCTTTTACTATATAAGGAAAACAATGACTCCACCGCGGTGGGGCTTATTTTGACACTAGAAGCAAAGTTTAAAAAACTTTGGTAGAAGACCTATAGATGATATCATATTCCAAAAATTCTTCGAACGAACGAACGAACACACACACACGCGTACGCGCACACGCACAGGTGAATTGCTATATGCCAACGCATCGCAGATGCTGCGGTGGCATAAAAACGTTCACCATCGATTACATATAATTTTTGTTTCTGAGAGAGAAAAGGTGAGTAGATAAATACGTTTGTTTTCACGACTACTTTCTGTTTGGTCGTATGTAGTGTTATGAAATAAATGACCTTGATATTTTTATCTAAACTAATAGCTGTTCTCTTGTGTATCGCATAAATGTAAACGAAAACCAATAGCCTGGAGAATAACGGCGGTAAATCATTTCATTCGATGTGCATAGCTGGTTAGTAGAAAGAGAGACTCTTATTTCTATTGTGGAAGTCGTCGGCATATATTAAGGCGTGCCGTTTACCCAGAAAGACGCAAAAATTACAAGAATACTTTAATGAATGATATTTTATTGTAACTTACCATATCGCGAAGTTTGTGTATTTCTTTTGTCCAGTCAATGCGCTGTTTGTTTAAGAAATAGTTATATTCGTGTGGTCTACAGTCTCCTATCATCACAAGTACTCTGTTTGAGTTACTTCGCCAGTCCATTTTACAGCGTGTGTAGTTCAACGAAAGCTCATATGCTTCATCCCAATTATTTGCATGACTTTTTTCATAATTTTTGCTTGTTCCTCTAGCATTTTGTACGAATTTGCACACGCGTTCTACATTGTCAGTAAGATTCTCGTGTTTTATGACATACGGATCAGTGTCATAATCGCCGTGAGCAATAACGCCAATCCTTATACCAGGAATATCTGATTTTAATTTTCGCATCATTTCCCTCATTCTATTGCGGACAGCGTCCAAGCAATGACTCATTGAACTCGTTGTGTCAAACGATAACACAATATCAATTAACTCCATGTTGCTCGCCATTTTTGTACCGATGTAATTTTGCCGCTCTTCCTCTCAGGTTATCATTTAACACTAATCAGTATTTAAACAAACCTTTGAACAAACGAACTTATAATCTTTTTACTTTACAATACATACAAATATTTTCAGAAAATAAATTAGTCGTGTTTATTGCTGTAAATACAAAAACTGCATTGTTAAAAATATCGGTTTTAAATTTTTGTACGTTTGTCGTTGAATGATCGAGTTTAATAAAAGTAAATAGCAAAGCATTTTCTGAAAATTTATCTTGAATAGAAATAATGAAATTATACCGGCACGTTAACCGAAAATAGATAATATTTGTGACACAACATGTTAAGAAAAAAAGGCTGCGTCATTAAATGTGCGTTTCTCCTTATATACAAGATGTCCGGAGCAGATATGCTAAACACATTTGTTAAATTCTATCGTGTTTCGTGTTTATAACATTAACACGTCATTAAAACTTAATGTTAAGTACAATTTGATAACAAAAACGTATATATAGTTTACAATAATTAAACAAATGTTGATTTAAAATGAATAGAAATGTTATTAAATTCAATTTTACATTTTTTGTAGCTATATGCATATGGAAAAGGAACACATTTTAGATAAAGTTGCATTACATTTAATTTCCTTCAATGGTTTAATTATAATCTACGCCACTGTCTGTAGAATAAATACTAGTTTAACTTTAACAAATATTTATAGCACGAAACTTGAATATGACACGTTACAATTATAATTATAATATAGATTAACTAGACATCTTTCGCATAAACACCAACCCATCGTTTAATTGCACCAAATATTGCACCAAATTAAAACAGTATATTGAAATGTCGACGTTAAAGTCATAGTCTATATGCCTTGACATAAAATGGTGAAAGTTTCAGTGAAATTAAAAAAACACAAAAGCAACATATAATTGGTGTATAACAAGGGGCATACCAATATAATGAACATAACAATTGATATTTGCAATATTCCAAAGACAAAAGTAAAAATAAATGTAATATAATCAATTTACAGACGTCACACATATCTGTTTTAATATTGCCTAATGTTTTGAAATACGACCTCAATAAAGTCAACGAGTTCACAATCTAGCATGTGAATGTGAAGATAATGATTTTCAGAAAACGGTTATGATTTTCAGAAAAAGGTCGATATTGGGTGGGTAAACAATATTGTTAAAGCGCTTTAATAATTCAAATCTATAGCTTGTGTTTGTGATAGTGTGTGTCTACAAATACATTACGATGTAAGGTAAAATGCATTTTTTTATATTTATTCTTTATGTTTTTCAAATGACTAAAGACATTTGTCATTTTTGTGTCGCCTCTACGGAGTAGTGGCGACATATAGGGATCACTTCTCCGTCGTCTGTCTGTCCGTCTGTCTGTCTGTCTGTCCGTCTGTCCGTCACAAAACTTGTTCGGACTACTCCTCATAAACTACTGGTGCAATTTCATCCAAACTTTACAGGAATGATCAGTACCAAGTCTAGTTGTGCATATTGTCAGCATTTTCCGGTTCAATGATTTTTGTCAGAGTTATGGCCCTTTAATAATTTTTATTTTTAAAGTTTGTCCGGACTACTTCTCTTATACCACTAATGTAATTTCAATGAAACTTTACAGGATTGATCTGTAGCTCAAGTCCTTGCGCATATTGCACGGGTTTTCCGGTTGAATGATTTTTGGCTGAGTTATGGCCCTTTGATAAAAACAGTGTTTTTTCTGTGTGTTGCCAGATACACAAAAGCTTGTCCGGACTACTCCTCATAAACTACTGGTGCAATTTCATCCAAACTTTACAGGAATGATCAGTACCAAGTCTAGTTGTGCATATTGTCAGAATTTTCCGGTTCAATGATTTTTGTCAGAGTTATGGCCCTTTAATAATTTTTATTTTTAAAGTTTGTCCGGACTACTTCTCTTATACGACTAATGCAATTTCAATGAAACTTTACAGGATTGATCTGTAGCCTAAGTCCTTGCGCATATTGCACGTGTTTACCGGTTGAATGATTTTTGGCCGAGTTATGGCCCTTTGATAAAAAGGTGTTTTTTTCTGTGTGTTGCCAGATACACAAAAGCTTGTCCCCACTACTCCTCATAAACTACTGGTGCAATTTCATCCAAACTTTACAGGAATGATCAGTACCAAGTCTAGTTGTGCACTGTCCGTCTGTCTGTCCGTCTGTCACAAAACTTGTCCCAACATGAAATTGGCCATCATGAGGCGACACATGTGAATATTGATTGCTCTTGTTTGTAAAAATGGCAGAACAAATTAGGTTAACCAAGGTTAAATGATGTATGCATACCGTATAACTGGTTATTTCTGCGAATAGCTAATTTCTACGATATTTTGCGGGTCCCTTTTGGCCGCAAAAAATAAATTTGCAAATATTTCGTAGTTTAATATGTAATTTATCCCGTTTTCGCCTCAGTTTGCCTGTTAAATTAATCAATACACACACACCGTTGGTAACCTCTCGCTTTAGTGAATATCGAATGTTTATAACACGTTATCCGTGTAGTCAATTTAAAGCTACATTAAATAAATATTTTAAAAATATTTTGCCATCGGCCTAAAAATCAAGCATTCTACAGTTTCATTAACATGTTTAACAGTATTGTTGTAAATCTCATCAAATATTGTTCATAAATTAGGATTTTAAAAGGAAAACCCCACGGTAACACTAAAGTTCGTATACGAATTTTAATATGCAAATGAAGCCTATTTTGAGTTCGTGTATGCGCTACGTCACAGTTTAATAGTTCCTATCCGGAACACAGAAAATATGATATTTTCTTGTGCAAACACACTTTTACCGTTTAAGCTTCACGGTGCACTAAGCCTGGGGTTCAGAAAAAGTAATCGTTTCGTAAATAGATTAAATTTGTATGAAAACATCCGTTACAATGCGGGAAATATACCGTTAAATTAGGACTACTACTTATAGTCATATTTGTTGATTCAATATTGATGTACGGATGATCCGAAGGCGAAGTTTCTCATGCAAACAGAAATTGTACTTCCCATTTCGCCACAATGAGGTTACCCTTTTTTATGCCTTTAAAACTCATTTTAGTTGTCTGGATACTAAAATAAGACCTGCTGTCGATATGAAACCCAATTTATTAATGAAATGTCGCTATTCAGTTTTTTATTAAATGTATTAAATGTAGCTTTAACACAAACGATTTTACGTGTAAGTTATCGTGTAATAAGTTTAGCAAGTTTGTGTTTGTAGGCTGTATACATGCTAAGTTGATTATCATTTTTTAACTTGTATTTTTAAATGTGCTATATGGATATATATATTATATTATTAAATTATTCGAAATGCATACTTTTTAAAATTGATATTATACCTTTCTTTTTAAGGAACCCGCTCCCAAAACTTTAACAGAAAAACGCAGAAATTAAATCTTAAAAACGTTTTTGATGAAAAACGCAGAAATAAAATTCGAAAAAATCCATTTTCAGTCCCAAAACGCAAAAATTTGCACCCGCAGAAATAACCAGTTATACTGTAATTTATTTTCGAAATTTATATCAGTATTTATATTGATAAATTAAGTTATTAGCCTCATGAAATGCAAATAAACAATCAAACACTTAGAAGTCAGTTTTTCCAAAAGCGTAAAAGAACGTTATTGCGAAACTGACACCCTTCAGATTCCATAGATTCAATAATTTTTTTATACATATGTTATAATAGGATTCAACGAGATCGTGATCGGGGCTATATACAAATTTTGGACACCGCTATGCCCATTGAAAAACGTGTATTCGTTCGAACAAACACATACTGTACATGTATTACTGAGCAGGTGTGTGTCATGTAATTTATCCTGAGGAACTAAATAACGATTGAATGAGGTTGAAAGACCACGTTAACGTTAAGGTTCCTTTGGCACTGACTATAACTGATTGTTGATGATCTTTATGGATTATGGTTAGTATTTCCGCATTGGGGTTGATTGTTGATAAACATAATGACGTATGCGACCGGGCGCATGTACGAGCAGCGAAGTGGGGTGCTTCCGCAGAAAATTTAGAAAATGAAGTTGTGAAATGGCGCATTATTGCGGGAAATATGTTTCTGTTGGATTCCGACGTTCGAATATTTTTCATAAAAAATTGAAACTATCTTTACCATTAAGCATTAGAACCATATTCACTCAGGGTCAGTGTTGTTCCTATCTAAAAAAATAATATTATTTTTATCAATATTACACCAACCGTCTGATTAAAAAAACACGTAATGATCGTAAAAATACCACGTCAAGGTCATATAAATTCATAAGAACAGAGGTTGGTCTACTGTTTTTGCCATTATGTAATAAAAGAACATCAAAACACAAGACTATCTGATTTGTACGAGTTTAGGTCAGATTGCAAACAAGAGTGTTGTTTCAAAGGCAAAAATAAAAACACTTTTCCTGTCGTCATATTATAAACCCATAGAATAAAGGAACCAATGTAATAGCATCTGAATATGATTTTTCTAATATCATAATCCCTTTCCCTGTCGTCATCATAATATCACCAGAAAAAATGGTGGCCAATCATTGGTTTTTATCCCAATTAGACAGTACGGTTACAAGATGGCACTTCATTTAATATATGGATTTAATAAAGAGGTTTTGGACCTTGTAAAATGAAAATGAGACTTTACAAATATTATATCTAGTCTCATTATTCGCATTTTCTATATAACATTAATAAGAAGTCATATTACATCACATTGAAGTTATGTTTTACACTAGTGATTAACTTCTCCATACACACACAGTAGAAAATGGGACAAAGAAATTAGAAACTAGGGCAAAGAATATTAAAATATTAATTTACTATTACATCCATATAATGTACTTGCAATGATAAGACATTTATAAAATGAATGAATTTTACTTTACAATGTAAGAATAAGTCATTAACATGAATTGATTTTAATTTACAAGCAATATTAAGTTATGGAAATGAATAAAATTTAAACTTATTAATAAATACCCTTCGATAAACTTACACGAATATAATATTCTGTTTCTCACATACCCAAAATAAAAACTGTTTAATGTGATAAACAATCTTTTAAATCATCTATAAGCTTACTTTAAATAATAGATTATTGATCAATATATTTTATGTTTGTACGTTAATATAGTCAGACTAAAATAGACCAGAAATGGAAATTTTAATAATGATAAAATTGAACATTTAGACAAAACAGTTTGTTTTTTCTCAAACCTTTACATGTTCACAACTAGCATACATTTATGTATGCATGAATTTGGAAATTTTGCAACTATAATATAATAGTATTGACAAATCTCAAACGAGGAAAATACGATAATCACTTTTAATAATCCGAATACGAGTAAACAGCATATTTCAATTATTGATAATGTGGGTTAGAAATATGCATTTCAATCCAAATATCATTTATAGTTAAAGCTTAATAGAAGGATCGCAAAATTGTAATTGAATGAACATTATTTCAAAAGGAAATACGTATGGCAGATTAATTTGAAATTAACATGGTTGTTTGGACATTAAAGTTTAACAGTTTAACAATGTCAGGGATTTGTAATGAGAAGGGAATATTTATCAAAGCTGACAATATATGCTATTTTTAATTCTTTGCAAAAGAAAATTTTGTAATACTTCTTTGTGTTTATACTTTGAAGATTATCATACATCGGCAGAAATGAACATTGTTGACAACAGTAAGATAATACCCGTTAAGCTATGGTAGATCCAAATCAGCCTTCTGTGCCGTTTGCCTACTCGTCGGTCGTCGAAAAAAAAGCAGCACATCTGAACAGGCGTGTAACAGCTTTGACACCTCAGAAAACGTCTCGTTCAATTTCAGTGCAGGCGCCATTATCAACCACATCATTGTATCGAACCCTTTTGCGATCCTGTTGCATTGCACAAGATTTTACAAGACGCATGTACGGTTCTGTTGTGATGCTTACGTTTGTTAAGCGTTTATCTCGTCGTTCTTATTTCTTAAACGCCATTTTACCGCGACTCTGTTGTGAAAGGGGCATTAGCTACTCATGTTGTTTTCATTATGACATTTTTCAGGGTATAAAAGCTCAGTAATGGAAACGGGAGAGGCAATCGATCCTATTCGTAAGTATATAATTCTTATTTGCTCAATTATTGACATAAAATTTCCGAATGGACAAGCATACTTATGAGGTCCCTGCAAAAGGACACGCACATAAGGTCCTTGCAAGACAGGCAATGTTGAGTTTATGTCACGGGAAAAAAAGAGAAAAAAGAACATCAACAACAACATAACACAATTGTCATTGAACAGATGGTGTCAATTTCTTTCGATATGTTTGGATTGTTCCTTGCACAGAAAGAATGGTAGTTAAGCATGATAATTAAAAAAAACAAAGTACAAGCACTAATAAATCTTGAAATATGTATTCAAGATGATATTATTATGTTGAATCCATGTTGTTAAATGTTTGTGATGAATTTTATGTTATGTAATGAAAGGGAATATCAGATATCAGATGTCTTAATCAATAGAAAGACGCATTGATTTTAAACATTTTTGTTGTGTGTGTGTTTGTGTTTGATATTCTTCCTGTTTATATTTAAGCGAGGACGTCATATACTATTTAGGTGAACATGTATGTATGAAGATCACAATATTTTCATAAGATGGTACATAAGTAATTGCCGAACATGATAGATAATTGCGTTTGTGCCTTATTTGGAACATATATGATAATCAGTCTTACGGAATGAACTTTTTTTTTCAAATTCAGGTGTTAAACTGCCTTTGTCATTGCGGATAGATGATGGGGTGATTACAGACATAGGAATAAAAGATGTTGCAAGAGATCTTAGAACCTGTATTGAACACCTTAAAAATTGCCTTAAACAAGTCTTTTCGTTTATTGCCGTCGTAGATGTTAAGTTCAAGAATGGTACAGTGTATTTTAAATTTGATGTTAGAGACGAACAGCAACTTGAGGCCATGTATGAATGTCTGGGGAAAGAGAAAAACGCATTTTCCGAATGGTTGTCTGGCTTTTTCATAACAAGATCAATGGAACTAGTAGCTGGACTCGGTTTGCACACTAAAATATACTGCAATATCTCAATGCCAGAGACTGTCTATTTAAGATGTAGATTACAATTCTGTGAAAAAGAAGAACAGAAAAGGTAAGCTTATTATATTTATATTCAAATTAGTGTTTTCCAACAATTAGTTATTTTAATATCGCTTAATATCGCTTTCATATTAAAAGCTTTTTATAATATATTTTTCTTTCTCTTCTAGATGTCAATGCCTGAACAAATATAATGTATATAAAATATTTCACATTTTCAGAAATATAAATGACATTGAAAGTCAAAAACCCGATGAGACTAAAACTGTAAGTAATTTGCTACTATTTTGAACTATATGACTTGTGCTGCCTACTATTCTTTATTCTATTGCCTCCACGAACATACCCAATTAAACCGAGATTGCAACATTTCGAAGTTCCTTTTTGGAAATTGTTTTATTCAAACCATATTATTAAGTGTTTTTTTTTTCTTTAAAAGGAAAGCATCTTTTGACATGACTTGTTATAATCTACGTAACATATCAAACTATCCCTAATTTAAACTGATTTAAATAGCCTATAGCAATCAATTTTGACACGTTTAAAAAAGCATAAAAATCATTCTGGAAACAGTAAATTAATAATTATCTACTACACAAAGTTTTTAATCTCCAACGTTTTGAGGGGTTAAACTCCTCTTTATCAAGGAGTTTCTGTTTATTTTTATAAATCATATTTGTATATTCTTATCTTACACCATGTTATGTATACAGGAAAATCCTATATTTTCCTGTATACATAACATATAATAAAAATGATATAATCCACATCTTAATAAATTATATCAGTTGAGGACAGTTGGAAGTCAGTGACGCAATTTCAAATAAATTACGTTTACGATCAGTTTTGGCTTTTAATTGGATAGTTTTGCATGTCGGGTACATTCAATCTCGGCTGTCCAACTTTAATTGCATTTGTTTGTAGACTGTCGTTACCGTGAGGAAAACGGTGGAACAAATTGAAAAGTCATCATCATTGTTTACCGAATTGATATCGACAGATAATATGGCTTCTTCAGGCACAATGAGTGACAACTGTACTGAACAAAGGTCGCCTGGTGCATATCCGTACGATTCAAAAGAGTCTCCATCTTCAACAAATGTAAGATTTTACATTAATTTCATAGGAAATAAACCTTTGTCTGTTTTATATTCTGCTAGTACTTACTTTAGTCTTAAAACAATGTAGCAAATGTCAAGTAATAACAGTAAGAGTGATTTACCTGCATGTAATGAATTGCAAATATGTAGAATATTCCTTAAGCGTTGATCATTATCATTCTATTCATAAAAAGCGTTCATGCATTTTCCTTCACTAATTCATAGCCGTTGATAAGAAGAAAGAGCGTTGGCATTTTCTTAAGAAATATAATTGAAATGATTTATTGGGTAATTCTTTATAGAGTGACCCTTTTTTAAGAATAATGTCAAAGCTATCGCTTACGAAAGACAAGTAGGGACAATTCAACATCATACGTTATCATATTTAATTAAATGAATTCACATGAAAGTGCTATCGCTTACGAAATACTTTCAAGGCAAATTCAACTTCACAAGTTCTCAATTTCAAAATCATCTATTCACAATTTCTGTCCATTAGTTTCATTGGTTCGCTATGTCAATGAAAACTTTTATGGACTTATGCACTTTTTAACGAACGGTATTACTTTTTCTTGTTAATTTTTTTTTAACAAAGAGATTAAAAAAATATTATGAGTTGAATAAAGAAAAAAGAAAACAATAGAATAATCATGATCATCAAGTGTTTGAGAGACACTACCGGGTATGTAAAATGTCTTTTTACAACTATCACAAAAAAAATGTTTCGATGCTTTTAGATTTATAACATTTGTCCGCAACATGTTTATTAAAGGGGCAACATTCGCTGCCGCGGCAGCGAGTATTGGTGGGTGTGACTAATCAGTGATGTAAAACTGTCTGTTATAAACCCTGAACTATAAATAGCATGCAGTGTTGCAGAGAGAATGTAAACAAAAACAGCCAATTGTAATGATTTTACACAGGAGAGGTTTAATGGATGTTTTATGTTTTATATATTAAAGACATTATCAAGTCATCATGTCCAGATATTATTTTTGAAGTCAGTTGTTTTTCTTCTTTTTTTCACTGGAATGCTGTATGTGTCCTTCATCAAGTCATACAATTATATCCAAACCTTACATGGGGCATTTCTTTTAGGAACAATCTGCTAAAAATATTTTTGACAGGAATTTAAAATATTTTTAAACTGTTAATGTATAACATTTTTATGCATATGCAACATTTAGTTTAATTAACATTTGTGAAATGTAATTTTTGACTACAAGATATTAACAACAAAATATTGTCTACCTGGAAGTTACTTTTTCTGTTTTCATGAAGTTTAAACCATTCAAATACAAATTAAATCAGTACTTTGAAATTTAAAAAAAATCATTGATTGATGGATTATTGTAAATTTGTTGGATTTGATAAAGCATGTCAGTAAAAGTTATTGTTTTTTTCTTATCATGTATTCAGCATTCAAATGTGTCGTCTGCTGAAAATCTCCCTCCCTGAAATATACATCGTCTGCTACAAATCTCTCTCCCTGAAAAAAACACTGCCACATGCTTCTGTTTACCTCTGAAGGTTCATGACCTGTAATGATCACATGGCTCCTCCCAGGAAATTCAAATTTCAAATTTGACAGCCAGTATTTTTTTCCAGAAATACACTTAACAAAGTTATATTTTGAATAATTTTGGTCAATCTTTATCAAAAATATCTATGCCTACAAACATGCCAAGTGTTGTTTTAATGCATTTGGTAATTAATCTTAAATCTTTGAAAAAGGGTCCCTGAAGTGAAGCATGCATAAAATTAATAAGAAACCTGCCCTAGCCCCATCTACTGGCTTTTATAGTCCAGTTGGGCCTTTAAGATCTATATTGAGACAATTATATGTGCCGCAGATTTCTCTGTGAAATACGGACCCCAAACTTGTCACCAGTTATGCCCTTAAAAAACTAATTTCGGTTATTTACCTCTAGTGTCACGGAGTATATATACTGACTGGAAACAACAATAATGTTTTTTTGTTGGTTATAAAATGATAAAAAAATAAATAAAAGAAACATACAATAATATACCATATATTAAAAGCGTAAAAAATAATCAAAGTGCTAGGCTTCCAAATACTTTTCTTCTTTTTTATAACATTTCTTTACATTTATAATATAAATACAAAACATCTTTTGTTCATTATTTGTGCAAAACTGATAATTTTTCTTTTACAAAGTGATGAAACATGCTAGAAATCTATGCTCTGCAACCTGTAGGTTGGCGGAAAATAATTTTAAAACATGTATACAATATAAATTTGTATACCTGAAACTGTGCGAAACCTACCTACTAGGTACACCAATTTTTGAACATCAGTGAAATGATGTTTTGAACAATTGCAGGATTCTTCCATTATGATACATTCCAAATAACTATGATATTGGATTTGTAACTTTACAAAAGAATAAATACAAGAAAAATAAGTTTTTCTATCTATGTGACCCCTTGAGCAGGGCCAAATTGACCCTTGAGCATGACTTATATAATTTTTGTAGATGTCAACAAGGCATGCTTAATGAAAAATATGCTAAGTTTTAACATAAATATAATATTTCTGGGCGTATGGAAATGTGCTTTGTAAACCTCCCTTAATTTAAAGCTTTTGAAATTCAAAAATGCAGTGGTAGTCATGGGCTAAACTTTCTGCAACTTATTACATTGTTTGTTATTCCTTCCTTGGAACATACATTTTGTTTAAATGTGTAATAAAACAGGCACAGCCACTTTACTTTAGCCCTTCAACCCATATCAGTCTTGCTATTAGGGAAAGACTACCCACAATTTGGCAAAACACAGAGGTAGCATTGTAAATTAACAACTCCCAGTATGGTACTTCAGACATGTTCAAAGTTTCGATAGTTGCCTTAAAAATGACATTTAATATGCATGTCGCAGCTCAAACGAAACAAAGGGGCTCGTTGACTCTGCTGTGTGTTCTGGACCTGAGGTAGAGGGGTCTGTAAAAAGACAAATATGTGCTACTCAAAAATATATATTGTTCACTCAAACAAAACCGTGGCCGGCGCCAACAATTTCTCAATTCAAATGCAAAATATGAAAATCACAAAAATCGGAGAATGGCAAAAATATATATGAATAATAATAGCATCATCTGCAAAAGTCTATTTACCTGTAAAAAGACAAGTATGTGCTACTCAAAATATTTATTGTTCACTTCAACAAACCTGTGGCCTGCGCCAACAATTTCTCAATTCAATTGCGCATGCGTTGTGCAGGTTAGCGGGGAAATTGAAATATTAGCGAGAAAAAATAATCAAAGAGATTGAAAAAGTTATAAAGTACTATTATGTATAGGTAACGGCTATTGGATATGAGATATGAGCTATGAGTGTATTATTTAAAGAAATAACTACGGAAAACAATAAGGGACATGGACAATGACATTTATATATACAAAGACCTTGCACAACATAACAAAAAAATAGAGCATTTTAAAAAGGGCACTGTTAGTTGACCCTGTGACTCCCCCCCTATAGAGAAAGTCGTCCCCCATTTTTCAAGATAACCAAAATCACTTAGAAATAATAACCCCAAGGTTCTTTTCTTATTGTCAAAAATTTTTCTCCCGTCATGTGTACAATATAGACTGCCAATCCTACTGTAGTAAAATTATCTACATAAAAACTAAAATTGTCAAAGTTTTTATGTAAAATCAAGAGCAGGAAAAATACATGAGACCGGCCCCATATGCCCTATAAAAATGTAATAAATCATCTATTAAGAAATTTAAAAAGATATAAGCATTTTTCAAATTATTACGTGGAAAATCTGTAGGTTTTTATTTAAGGCCCAAAAATGAAACAATGTTTTTGGTGTTCTAAAAATTTGTTAAAATAAACCCCAAAATTAAAATTTGTAATGAGGTAAATTGTGCTTTAAATTATGTCCCCTTTTAAAAACCTAACCTTTTGAAAAACTCAAAAAAATTTAAAAAAAAAAGTTTTTTAAAAAGTTGATGTTCCCAAAATGGGGGTTTTTTTTCTAGCACACGGTCTGGAAAAAGGTATGCAAATGATAAAAAGTGGGGTTTGGGTTTTTTGGGGTGCTTTTTCAACAAAAAAGGGGGGAAAATTTTAACTACAATGATAATACGAATCCCTAAGCCACACGGAATTGAAAAGTTGCGGTGGTTTTTTGTGTTGTTTCAAGTTGTTCTTGGTCTGGTAACAAAAAAAAGAAGGTCAGATTAAAAGTGTTTTGAGAGGAACCCCGAGAAAAGGGGGAAAGAAAATTTTGTGAAAGGTTGGGATTTTTCCCCTTCGCTCCTTTCACAAGGAATACGTGATAGGATTCGGTACTTCACCCCAATTTTCCATCTCTTCCCCCTTTTCAGAGCTTTTGCTTTCCCCTTAAAAACCAAAGTTCCTATAAGACCCCATTTTGTTCGATTTTGGGTCCCCCACCGAATTATATGTTTTTTATGTCTCGGGGGTTTTCGCAAATCTCTTCGGTGGCAAATTTTTTAAAAATACGAAATAGTTAGAAAGTTTTGCTTGGGGTGTATAGGCTGGTTAAGGAGGCGTCGATGGGAGCGTGGATGCCGACCCAAATTAGAAGTGGGGGTGTGCCCCTCTTTATGTCGGTAATTATAGGTATGCACTTACAGGATATGTGTTTATTTTTGCTTCTGTAAGTTTTCGGGTACTAACATGTTCAATAACGTCTGATTAAAGCGTTCTGGCATGCCAATGTCTTTGGGATGATATAAAGTGGTTCGTGATTTCTCAACATTGGCCAGGTTTTACAGTTCATTGATAACGGCAGATTCAAAATTACGACCTTCATCACTGTGTAAGCGGCTCAGAAAACCGTAATGGCAAATAAATTGTTCAAATAAAATCTTGGACGTTGTATGGGCTGTCTGGTTTTTAGTGGAGATAGCTTGAGCATAACGCGTAAAATGATCAATGATGACCAATATATGCTCAAAGCTACTCGCACACATTTTCAAGGACAGAGAATCCATACAAACAAGCT